TCTAGAAACATTTTTTGTGCTTACATGCAGAACGAATATTCCTCTTCCTCCTCTTTTGTACAAAATTAGTAAACTAAGTTCTGTATCTTTAAAATTAATAGTTCTTCATTATAGTTCTGTATCAATATGTACAGATTTCCTTAATGTTTATTAGAACTGAATGATGTTCCTCTGAATGAACATGGCTACCACATATACTTGTGCATGTTGGATACTGAACAAATTTACACAATAGGATTTCAGTGGAACCTGTTGAATTATTCAGCTCTAAGCAAATGCAGCAGCCTTGATGGCAGTTTACTTAATAAGTTCCTTTTGGTAGATATTTCAGATTTTTTTGGTATTGCTAACACTATTGCAGTGAATAGTCTTGTATAAATATGTTAACATCTATAGGATAATTATGTATAGCTTGTCATTCTATTATTTCCTAAAGTATTTACTGTATCTGAGATTCCAGTACCTAAAGTCTTTATTATAGAGTTGTTTAGAAGTTTTATTATTTTACATGAAGAGAGGTACCATATATTAAATTATTTTATGTGGACCTTGACCTGGAATAGTATGTAAGTAGGCCTTTGGGACAGGCTGGAGTGTTTCCCAGACTTGCAAGATTCTTTTTTCCTTTTATCCTTCTGAGCTCTTCACAATCTTTTTAAAGTTCCTGATAGTGGAAGAAAAAATTATCAAGATATATTTAGAAGCAGAGATGTTATTTATGCCAATTTACAGAATAAAATGATCTTCAATCTCAGATGAATCTTTTTTTTGGTTTGTTTGTTACTGGGGATTGAACTTGGGTCCTTGCGCTTGCAAGGCAGGCCACCGAATCGCTGAGCTAAATCCCCAGCTCTCAGATGAATCTTTAAAAATGTAAAATATGTTACTTTTCTTTACTCTCACAAAATGTTTCTTTTTCTTTCTTTGAAAATATGGGATGAGTTGTGTATATTTCCAGCAACACTTAACTGAGCTGCAGGCAAAATAATAAAAACGTTCATTGAAAACTTCTGTGCCCCATAAAAGGTACAGTATGTCAAAGGGATTTTTGTGTGTGTATGCAGTGCTGGAGATCAAACCTAGAACATTGCACACACACTAGACAAGTGCTCTGCCATTGAGCTGAACCTTCGGCGTCAAAATTCTTTTTTATTTCTTATTTATTAATTTTTAATTAATTAATTTTATTAGAGGTGTACAATGTAATGACATTCATCAGTGGAAATTTGCACCTTTACATAATCCATATTGGTTCTTATTTTTTCCCTATTCCCCTGCCCTCCTGTCAACATCAACCCCTCCGAATCTGCAAAGACTTTGTTTCTATTTTTTCTTTTTCTCATGTTAATTCCATTCCCATCTTTTTTTTTTCAAAGTTCTTTTTTAAAGGTACTTCGTACAAAGTGAGAACACTGGAATCATCCCTTTGATGGTAAAGTGAATAAGTAATTACTTTGTGTGTGTGTGTGTGTGTGTGTGTGTGTGTGTGTGTGTGTGTGTGTGTGTAGTGTATGTATATTCTTTGTGTGTGTGTGTGTGTGTGTGTGTGTGTGTGTGTGTGTGTGTGTGTGTGTGTGTTTGACACGGGGTTTCACTGTGTGGTTCAGGTTGGCTTTGAACTCACTATGTGACCCAGGCTGGCCTTGAACTCAAGGTGATCTTCCTGTCTCAGTCTCCTGAGTGCTGGGATTACAGGCGAGCACCACTGTGAATTTAAATATATTAGTTTAATTTAGTTCTTGGTTGCTCCTTTGAAAACTTTAATGAAATGGAGTTTTTTATTCACAATTTCTAAATTTTTTCCCACTGTGATCATAAAGCTGGTCAGTTTTCAGTCAGGGAAAATTAATAATTTATTTTCTATTTGGGAAACCCTAATTTTTACTGTACTTTTAGATAAGATCACTGAAGTTAGAGAAATCCCATTTTGTTTTCCTGTGTAGCTTACAGGGTGATATCAGGACTTTGATTTCAGGTCAAATAAATTCTGCTATAGTTTTCGGCATTTATAATACACAAGAAAAATATTTTGGGGATGTTTATGATAAATGAGCTGTCGATAGTTAGAAGTTATGCTGCAGTGAGTTTTTTTAAAAAACTTTGAGCTATAGTTTACTATATAAGTCTTTTCTGTTGCTAATAATACCACAGATAAGGTGAGTTTATAAAGAAAAGAGGTTTATTTCAGCACAGGGTACCAGAGGTGAGAGGTGAAGGTGCCACGTGTGGTGAGATCTGGAGTAGTACAGGGCATCTCCTGGCGAGAGTCAGGTTGTGTGTGTACATATTTGTTTTTGGTCTCTCTCTTTCCTTTTAAAGCCAGCAGGATTCAATCATGAGTGCTTCCTTCTGATGACCTTATCCCACAGTTCCCCCTTCAGTTATATTAGTTAGATTATGTCTCTGCCTTTTCATTTTGCCTTTTTGTGTGTGTGCATGCCTATGTATGCCCTTCTGGCTATTGAACCCGGGGAGTGCTGAGCTACATCCCAGGCCATTTTTATGTATTTTGAGATAGGATCTTGCTAAATTGCCTAGGCTAGCCTCAAACTTGTGATAATCTTGCCTTCGCCTCCTGAGGTAGCAGGATTACAAATGTGCACCACCACCCCTGTCTAATCTCTATCCTAGTTAATACCTCACAGTGGTGATTAGATTAAAATTTGACGCATGAGGCTGTGGATGAATCCATAGCCAAAGCATAACCACACTCAGCATTCACATGCTAAAGAATTCATCCATTGAAACTATAGAGTTCGTTTGCTTTTAGTACATTCACAGAGTTGTAAAGCTGTTATTACAGTCAATCATTTTCATCATCACTAAAGAAAATATAGTTACCACTTGTCCCTCCCTATTTCTCCCCCAATTCACCAGCCCTAGTCAAGTGCTAAACTGTCTCTATTTCTAGATTTGGCTATTTCATATAGACAAGATGATATAATATGTGGTCTTTTGTGTCTGGATTCTTTGGCTCAGCAAAATATTTTCAAGGATAATCTATATTGTAGCCTGTATCAATACTTCATTCCTTTAAATTGCCAGATAATATCCCATTATATTAATATTATCATTTTTTATCCATCCACCAATTGATGAATATTTAGGTTATTTCCATTCTGTAGCTATTATGAGTAATGGTTGCTTCAAACATTCGTACACAAATTTTTATGTAGATTTTTTTTCAAATGAGATAACTGAGGATCTAACCTTCCAATTTCTTTGTACATGCTAAGCACATACTTTACCGCTGAGCACCACCCCAGGCCTCCGTAGAGATGTTTTTATGTCACTTGGGTATATACCCAGAAGTAGAGTGTCTGTGTCACATGATAACTTGTGTTTACCTTTTGAGGAACCGCTGCGCTATTTCCCATAGTGACTGTAGCATTTACATTTGCACTAGCAGGGTGTGAGCTTCAGTCTCAGTATAGTCTCTTCAACGTTTGTTATTATGTCTTTTTTGATTATAAATATTCTACTAGTGTGAATTACTATCTCATTGTACTTTTGCATTTTCCTAACGACTAACAGTATAGAACATCTTTTCAGGTGATTTAATGGACATTTGTGTTTCTTTAGAGGAAAGTGTATTCAAATCCTTTGATCATTTTAATTAGTTTATCTTATTATTATTTAAATTTAAATTTAATTTAATTTAATCTTTTTGGTACCGGAGATTGAACTCGGGACCTTGCACTTTTGAGACAGGCGGCAGCACCACTGAGCTAAATCTCCAGTCCTTATCTTTATTACTGAGGTATAAGAATTGGCCAGACATAGTGGTTCAAGCTGCACATGGAAGACTGAGGTAGGAGGCTTGCAATTTCAAGTGCAGCCTGAGGAACTTAGTGACTTAATGAGGCCTTACCTCAAAAAAGAAAAGGAGAATTATAAGAATTCCTTATATATTCCTGATAAAAGTCCTTATCAAATATGTGGTTTTCAAATATTTTTTCCCATTCTGTGTGTTGTCCTTTTACCGTTTTTGGTATTGGAGATTGAACTCAGGACCTTGCACTTGCCAGGCAGGCGTAGCACCACTGAGCTACATCCCTGGCCTCTTCTCTCACATTTTTTGATGATTCATCCACATTTTATTTGAAGCACAGAAATTTTAAATTTTTGTATTTTGAGACAAAGTCTTGTGCTTGGGTTGGACTGGAACTTGGAATTCACCGACCTCTGTTTCCCAAAGTGCTGGGGTTACAGGTATGCACCACTACTCCCAAAACCTTTTGTTATTATTCTGGCTCTCTTGCCTTATCATATATATTTTAGAATTCATTTGTTAACTTCTGCAAAAAAGCTAAGTGAGATAGTAATCTGGATTATGTTAAATCTGTAGATCAAATTGAGGGATTGCTGTCTTAATCACATCAGCCTTTTTCTGCCTTTGAACATGAGTCTTTTGATTTATTTACATTCAAAACATTCTACAGTTTTATAAATAATACAACTTTTGCATTTTCTTCAGTTTATTGCTCAGTCTTTTGTTCTTTTTTGATGCGGTTTTAAGTAGAATTTGTTTTTTAATTTCACTTTTGGATTGATGCAAGTGTTTACAAATATAATTTTGTGTAGTCATTTTATATTGTAATATTACTAATTCCATTTATTCTAGTAATTTTTATTGCATTCTTTAGGATTTTCAGTACACAAGATGATGTCATCTATAAATATAAATAGCTTTATTTCGTTATTTTTCATCCAAATATCTTTTTATTTATGTTGTAATTTTTTTTTGTATCAGGGATTGAACTCAGGATCTTGTGCTTGTGAGGCAGGTGCTGTGTGTTATTATAATATTTTGAACATCTAGTATACATTAACTAGAAGTCAACAAAGGAGTTGACATCTTTGTTGTAGTCTTTATCTTTGGGAGAAACTATTTGATAGTAGTGGTTATTTTTTTACCCTCAAAAGAATGGAGCATACTTGCTCTGAAGACTGATTTTTTTTTCCTTTTGCTGAAAGACTTCTTGTGTTTGTGTACACAGATATGTTCTGATTAGAAGGCTTACCTGTGCATTGTGGAGGACAAGCAGTGCCTTACAAAGATGGGGTTTGGGAGTGACCTGAAGAATTCGCATGAAGCTGTGTTAAAATTGCAAGACTGGGAATTACGATTACTGGAAACAGTGAAGAAATTTATGGCTCTGAGAATAAAAAGTGATAAAGAATATGCATCTACTTTACAGAACCTTTGTAATCAAGTTGATAAGGAATGTCCTCTCCAAATGAATTATGTCAGCAATGTATCCAAGGTAAGAAGCATTAATTTCATAATTTCTTTTATATAACTGTCCTTAAAATAGATCATACTATTGAAAGAGCATAAGAGTTTAGAGTGTTCTGAGTTTTCTGAGTACAGTTTCAGCTGCATCCTTGACATTATTCTATTTTTATTTTATTTTATTTTTAATTCAAAATACATTTTAATTTCCTGTTTGATTTCTTTGTGTGTTCTTTCAGTCTCATATTAATTTATAAATATTATTTCCAGATACTTGTTGTTGATTGTGAATTTAGTTCCACTATTTTCCAAGATCAAATTTTGTATAATAAAAGCTTTTAAATTTACGAATATTTCCTCTATAGCCCAGAATATGGTTTACCAAGGTAAATCTTTTATGTGACCTTGAAGTATATGTATTCTTTGTTGTTGATTGGAACATTCCTTAGATGACAGTAAAGATGGGATGATTGATAGTGGTGTTTTAAGTCTTTCATTTTAAAGTTAATCATATATATAATATATATATTTCATGTATAAACATCACATATATTATGTATACTATATGTATACATATGTGATTTTTTATGGAAGTAAAGAAATCACAAAAGTTGGAGAATCAGGAAAGCTGGTGATGTAGTTCAGTCTGTCTTTGTTAGGGGAACTGATGTTGTGACTCAGTGTGAGGCCAAAGGCCTAAGAATGTGGGAAGTTGTTGGTATAAGTACCAGAGTACAAAGGCTTAAAAACCTGAAGTGCTAATGTTGAGGGTGGAAGGAAATATTGGGAGGTAGAGAACTAGGTTCGTAGATGTCTTTGTTCTCAACCTGCTGGATCCTACCTGATTCTCCATTGTTCTCTGACAGTTTCTTTTTTTAAATTTAATTTTATTTATTTTATTTTTTTTCCTTTTTATTGAGTTTATTGGTACAATCTTTACTTGGCATAACAAGTGTTTCAGGCTCCTCTTGAAAGTTCCTTTCTATAGTCCTAGAATCAACTCTTTTTCCTTGGCTCCTAGTTCTTTTAGTGGAAGTTACTTTTGAGTATCCAACCAGTTTACTATGGAATCTTAGGGTTACAGTGTTTTGCAATTATAAGTAATGCTGCAGTAAAAGCCACTGTATAGATATATTTTTAATTATTTGTATTTTTAGGGTAAATTCTTGAAAGTGGGTTTTCTAGGTCAAAATATAAATATGCACGTGGTTTTGTTATAGTCCCAATATAAACATAAATTTTCCTACAGATTTCATGCCATTTTACATATTTATCAGAACTGTGTGATGCAGCAGGTTCCACTTACTCTGGGCAGTAGCGTATATTATCAGGCTTTTGAATTTTTGTTTATCTGATAGATAAGAAATTATATCTACTATGGCTTTAGTTTACATTTCTATACAAGTTAACTCAGTTAAATATCTTCTTATATATTCATGTTTAACAGTTTCTTCTTTTTGAAGACTTATTTTGTTCTATGGTGTAGATAATTTTACTGTTTTTATTTTTTTGGTACTGGAGGCTGAACACAGGACCTTCACACTGAACTATAGCCCTAGGCCTTTTTATTTTTTATTTTGAGACAGTATCTTTCTAGTTTCAACACAACTGTTGTACTAGGAAAAAAACTGAGTTTTTTGTAAAGATCTTATTTATTGGATTAAGTATGAAATGAAGGCAGAAAACCATACCTACCCAGGTGAACCAAGCTGTTTAAGAATATATTTGAGACACACTCTTTAGTCTTACTGGCTAGCATTGTTTACTCTTTTTTTATGAGTCACTGTCATCCACATGTGGTGTTGCAAGTTTTTGTTCAATTGCAGATAATTTTTCTACCACTTTATAGTAATTCACAAATTTTAACCATTTTAAAAACTACTTTGACAAGCAGATTTGGGGTCTTTTCATGTATTTTTAAGTCATTTAATGTGTGTGAAATTGTACAGTGTTAAGCTTCCTTCCTTTTTTATGTATCTTTGATTATTTTTGAGTGTTATACTACTAACTTTATTTGGCTATAGGCCCTATGCTTTTGCTATATGATTTTGTACAACCCAGTGATTATTAGGAGCATAAATGTTTTATTATAGTAGAACTTGAACATTAGAATTAGTTGGGGAGTTTTAAAATACTGATGCCTGGACCCCATCAAAAGCTATTTAATCAGAATCCCTGGTTATGGGGCTTAATAATTGGTATTTCTGAAAGGCTCCCAGTTGTTTTTTATTGCACTAGAATTGTGACTTTGGAGTAGGGAAACTGTGAAGTTTGAAGAAAATACAGAAAAAGAGGCTCTTCTGAGAAGAGTGTATCTCAAGTTTTCTTTACACTTGCAGTGGAGTCTTTGAAAACCTCACATTTGGAAATTTAATGAGTTGTTTTCTGAATTTCTATATTCCATAAAGAATTAAGAGACTCTAACATTCTTCTTATGTAATAGGCAAACTCAGAATAAAAACTGTTGCTTCAGAGAACCATTTATTTTGAGCTACTGTGCAGTGCAGAAACTATGCATTCTTCATGGAATTTTAATGCTGCATTTAAAAACATTCAGGCATGAAGAAAGAAAACAACTAGTTGGAGAATATAGTCTGTAGCAAAATGCTATTTATGACAACTCTTATTTAGGTATTTTTCAAGCTTGAGTCATCTTGTTGATTATTTTCAATGCTTTACTGTAATTATAGCTCCACTAGTAGTTTGTTTTTTTACTGTGTTCCAGAATACATACTTTTTGGTGCAATGAACACAGAGCACTTAAATTACTACCTGTTTATAGAATATTGATTTTTACTTCACTATACATTTGTTTGGTTCAAAGGTAGAAGGCAAGAAAGGACACGATGTACTTTTCTAAGTGATACCTATTTCCCTTTATATGTAGCTTTTCCTTTTTATAAAAATTGAACATAGGGCCGGTGATTTAGTTCAGTGGTGCTGCCATGCTACCTCCTTTTCAAGTGCAAGGTCCTGAGTTCGATCTCCAGTACAAAAAAACAAACAAACCAACAAACAAAAAAACACTCAAAAAATTGAACATACTTTACTTTCTTTATATCATGTAGACATCCTTGCATACCCAGTACTGTTGACCTCTTTTTGTTTGCTAAGCATAAAATAGGAATTTTAAGATTCAATTATTTTATAAAGCTAAAATGCTATTTATTACATACCTGACCTACTTTTTGGAGAAGAAAATTTCTTTAAATTGAATAATTCTTTTTATTGTCAAAAAGTGTAGCATTTTTCTAGGGACCATTTATTTTTATTATAGTATAGCAGCATTAAAGTCAAATTTAAAAACTAAAAACCATTTAAATGATAAATTTTATGTAAAAACAATTTGTTTGTTTTTGGTACCAGGGATCGAACTCAGGAGCTTGTGCTTGCAAAGCTGTTGGCGGAACCACTGAGCTAAATCCCTGGCCCTAAAAGCAGTATTTTCACGATGTAATATTAATATTCAATATACAACTCAGAATTCTGAAAAATGAATTTAAAAATCTCAAACCAATAATTTATTTCTCGGGGCATAGGAAAATGTGTGCTCTTGAAGTGTTTTTTCTTTTTCTTTTTTTTTTACAGTACAGTTACATTCATTGTTGGGATCCTGCACCTCTACATGACAGGTCTTGGTTCTCCTTTTTTCCCCTTGTCCCTGCCCTCCCTTTACTCCCTTCTCCCTTCCCCATCTACAAGCACTTTATTTCCATCTTTTCTTTATCTCACATTTTTTTCTTTTCCCTTATTACCCTTCCCCTTCCTATCCCACCTTCCTTACACCTTTAGCTTTCTTCCCATTTCACAATGTCAGTAATCTTATTAAGATCTTATGTATTATTGCAGTTTATTCACACGAGAGAAACTATTCGGTATTTACATATGTGTGACTTATTTATTTCACTTAGGAGTATATCTTCAAAATGTATCCATTTTCCTATGAATGAATCTATTTTCTCGTTCTTTATGGCAGAGTAATATTCCATTTTATAGAAAAACCACATCTTCTTTATCCAGGTTCCAAATGATGGGCAAATGGGCTGTTTCCAAGTTTTAGCTATTACAAACTAAATCTTTTTTCTTAAAGTAGTCCTATTTTTAATTGTCTAGTGTGATATTAGGGTGAGTTGGATAAGCTGATTTACTTCTCAATTCTTCTAATTATGAAGATTCAAGGGATGAACTGTTATTTTAGTTAGAGACTCAGTTTTGGTGAAAGGCCTGTTTTATGTCTATAGCTTCTAATAAAGCATATCATATCAGTAATATTGTACTACTCTTGGTCTAGAAGGACTTTTTCACTTGGATGTACTCATGCTACAAGTAGGTGACCTAAAGGGAGCAGATAGTGTTTGATTTTTAGCCTCTATTTTAATGATAATGTGCTGAATTAAAGAGTAAAGGTCACTGTATAATTTGTACCAGTTTTAAAGGTATTTTCATCAGGTTAGTTTAGACAGTTGTTCTAAAAGCTGCCTTTAGATATAAGGTCCCTTTTATTCCCTTTGTTTCTTACCTGGCAAACATCAAGTTGTAACTGGTCTAGCAAATTTAAGAGATAAATTTGTGTTTGCAGCTGAGCTCTTCCTTTGTTAGCTATGTGATCTTGAACAGATTATTTAATCTCTAATATAATTTCTACATTAATGAGGTGAAAATATGCCTCATCGAAGTAGTAAAAGTATTTGTAAATAAGAAAAAGCCAGTGAATTGGCAGAAGGCAGATAGTATTAGAGAGGAGGAGCAGAAAGTCATTTAGGTAAGTGAAGCTAGCTTTATAGCAACCATTTCTGTTACGACAATTTTGAAGATGCTTCACCAATAAGTACTTTCCTATATATAAAGAAGCTATCTCTGCAGGATTCTATTTATCCTCCTATGGAGTAACTTCACAGTCTTAGATCTTAAGCCAGAAAAATATGGTTTTGCTGGTAAATAAAACAACTTGCAGATCCTGCCCTCATAACTAATATCCTTTAAAATTATAAAAAGATCTTCTAAAAGAGGAAAGAATATACCTAGCAGGGCTTCCTAGGGCAAATCTTTGCCCAGAGGGACTGCCCTACCCACTGCAGGACTAGCCCAGTGATAGCGGACTGAAATCCAGGAAAAATAAGGTACCTTCATTGCATCTGCCTGAAGCAAGGAGTTATTGGCAGACTTAAAAGAAAGCAAGAAAACAGTGTAGATATATGATTCCTATGGACTAAACAGTAGTATGTGGCTGTGATACCAAAGGAGCTGAAGACTAAAACAACTGTGTTAATTATCATTCCCGAATGACAGCTCTTCCATTATTAATGAAAAGTTCACGTGAGGTTTCTATTCTTAGTAGATTGCAGCTTGAAGACTTTGAATTTAGAATCTTAGAGTTTGATAAGCGCCTTTAAACAGTAAGTAACGTATAATGATAATAACACTGAACTAAGAGATGGGCTTCTAACCCATCTTGAATTATTTGTGGAAGTATTGCCACTGAAAGAGATCTTTTTCCTGAGTCATATTGCAAAGTCACACAAGACAACATAAATTTTCTCCAGTTTTCCCTACAAATAACAAAATAGGAAAATCTGATTACAAGAATATATTTTATGAGGAAAACTGTTTCTTAAAACTGTGTTTTCAGTTACAGCTATGACTGATTAGGAGGAAAGAACCAAATTTAAGACCTGATAATTTTTATAAGCAAAGAAAATGTATACATAAGGTAAAATTCTGGTTAGTGTTTAAAAATGTTTTATAGGAATCTCTTTACAAGTATAGAAACTAAGGCACAGAAACTTAAACATGTTTAGGTTCAAGTCTGAATTTAGCTTTAAAAGAGTTGAGTTAGAAAGGAGTAATGGAATTCATCAACTCCACATCTTGTTTCTGTGTTGTACAGGACCCAAGTGCAGAAAACAGTATTAATTTGATAAAACTTCAGGGAAATGGTGTGTCCCATGTGTGTGGCCTCGTTCATTTTTGCCTAATGCAAAAGCAGAGCTTTAATTTTTATTTCTCTAGAAATTATTTGAGGAGTTTAAGAGCAAATTAGATAAGGGTAGTAGATAGCAGGTTAGGTTGGGGGGCCAATGAGTGACGATTTGTTTTTTAAAGAAAAGTTGAAGCTAGGAGGGGTGGTGTGTTCCTGCAATCCAGGCTGCCCAGGATGCTGAGGTAGGAGCATTCCAAGTTCAAATCAGTCTGTGTAATATAGCAAGATCCTGTCTCAAGAATAAAATAAGAATATCTGGAGGTGCAGCTCAATGGTTGAGCACTTACCAAGCTCATGAAAGGTCTTGGATTTAATCCCCAGTACCTGAAAAAAAAAAAAAAAAAAAGAGCTGAAGAAGCTAATGAAGGAGAGTTTTGGGATACAGGAAGAGGAATATAACCCAACAATTTCCATAGGCCATGAAAAGGGAATGTGGATATAGCAGGGCTAACAAGAACATCACAAAGAGCAAGTGAGAAAGAGGTAAATACCTCTCTTCTTTCTCTTTCTTGCCCTTATCCTTATCTTCTCCCTTACAAAAGCATTTCACAATTAAAAATGACCAGTATGTGTCCTCAAAACTTATTTATATCTATTTAAAACATATTACAGTGTATCAAAAATAAGATTGACAAATTAGAACTTGATGAGTATAGACTGTGGCTAAGAATTTGCTTCTTTTAGGTTGTAGGTTTAGAGTCGTAAGAAATTTTGATTTATGATTTCATTGGAATTTTATAGAAAAGGAATTTTATTCATTTACATTAAAAGTAATAGAATAGGAAATTATTTTTATAATATTTGAAACTTTCTTGTCTGTTTTTTTTAACATGGATCCTTCCTACTATGATAGTCTCTAGTAATTCTCAATAAAATTTGAAAACCTATAGTGAAAAGCATTCTTCTGTCCCTTTTTTTTTCAGTGTGTAGAGGTTAGCAGGTCTAGTGAGTAACAAATGACTTATTCTTCTAGCAATCTCTTTGTGGCCCTTTGTCCCAACCCCACCATTATTGTCTCCGCTATTGAGGCAATGTGTTGTGCTGCCTAGAACTAATGCTGTTTATTAGGAAAAGAGAAAACTGTAGATAGAAATCCAGAGAATACCAGTATTTATGACACAGGAAGCTGCAGAAGAGCAGGTACCAAAGATTGAGAAAAAAATTTAAGAAAGGGAAACAAAACAGAACAGAGCAAAACAAGCCAGCAATGTGAAACATAAGAAAGAAAGCCATGCAAGCCAGAAAAGAAGGCAGTTTCAGAAAGAAGTGAGTCACCAGGATCAGATGCCGCAGAGCGACAGGTTAAGATGAAGGAGGGAAAATGTCTGTTCTTTTGACCTTTAGGAATTGGTGACCTTATTGGGGCATTAGAATGGTGTGCACAGAGCATGATGTTAGTGTGTTGGAAAACAAATGAATAGTGTAAGCGTGGACTCTCAAAAGCTCTTTAATCCTTTTCCCAGCATTTTTCCTAGTCTCTGACTATTGAATTTCGAAGCACTTATAGTTGAAGTTGATGATGTTAAATACAAAGCTCTCATAGTTTATTGCACAATTGCCAAAGTCCTGCCATTTTATATTAATGTAATTTTATATATATATAAAGCCAAATATAAAGCTTTTGAAGTCTTAAAATCACAGTTAAATGGGAGCTTCTAATATAAATGCACATTTCCTTCCCTCCCGCCCTCCCTTCCTTCTTTCCTCTTTTTTCCACGTTTGCCTCTCAAAATGAATACATTCATCATTTATCTTGGGGAATCTTATCTATCTATCTCTTTATTTATCTGTCTCTCCATCTATCACATTTTAATCATTTTTACTTCCCTTTTCCCTCCCCTCATTATCTCTCACCATTCCAAGATCTCCTTCCCATATCTACAAAGTCTACTTCCTGTTTCCAGTCATCTCTATTTTCTTTTGCGATTTATTTATTTGGTACCAGGGATAGAACTTAGGACCTTGTGCTTGAGAGGCAGGCACAATACCACTGAGCTAAATCCCTGGCCCTTTACACTTTTTATTTAAGAGAAACTATATTTAATTTCCTGTATCTGATTTATTTCGTTTGGCATTGTGATCTCCAAATGCATCCATTTACCTACAAATGACTCAAATTTTTCTTTCTGTATCCATTTGTTGTTGGGCATATCCAAGATTTAGATATTGTGAGTTGTGCTGCTCTAAACTTGGATATCACTCTAATGTGATGTCTTTAACTCTTTTGGGAAGATACCCTGAAGAAGTAGAGTTGGGTCAAATGCAATTTCTATTTTTTTTTTGTTTTGAGGAATCACTGTACTGAATTCCATAGTAGTTACACTAGTTTATATCCCAGCCAACACCATAGAAAGGTTCCCTTTCCCTACCACCTTGCCAGCATTTATTGTTGTTTGAGTTCATTATGATAGCCATTTTTTTTTGGAATAAGATGGAATCTCATTGTTGTTTTGATTTGTATTTCTGTAAATGGCCAAATATGCTCAACATTTTTTCTTCTTTTTTTGGTACCCGGAATCCAACTTAGGGCCTCGTGCTTGCTAGGCAGGAGCTGTGCCTCTGAGCTACATCCTTGGCCTGAACTTTTTTTTTTTTATGTACTCTTTGGCCATTTGTACTTTTTGAGATATGTCTATTAATTTCAGTTGACCATTTTGGGGGAACCTTTAAAAGAAATGCTAATTTTCTTTCTTCTTCTTTTTTTTTTAAAGTCTTGGCTACTTATGATTCATCACACTGAACAACTTAGTAGGATAATGAAGACACATGCAGAGGACCTAAACTCTGGGCCCTTACATAGGCTCACCATGATGATCAAGGACAAGCAACAGGTGAAGAAGAGTTATATAGGTGTTCATCAGCAAATAGAAGCAGAGATGATCAAGGTTTGTCATTCCATATTGAATTTTAAAATTTAGTTCACTGAATATTTTATCTTTTGTGACTTTTAAAAATATTTATCATTTACTCATAAGAAGTTTGGTGACTGACATATAAATATGGAATCTTTTGGGTGTATATGTGTGTGGTTATACTGGGGATTGAATCAGTCCTGGGCTTTTGCACTAATCTGCATCACCCTTTTTATTTTTTATATTGAGATGGTGTTTCACTATGTTGCACAGGCTGGGTAGGACCCTGAAGTCTTCCTGCCTTAGCCTTTTGGAGTGCTGAGATTACAGCACTTATCTTATGATATCTTATTGTCTTATTATACTTATGAAATCTTATTATCTTATTTTTATATATAAAATATTACTGATCATATATCATTCTATACACCTAAGAAAAAAATGTTACCAGTTGAGCTATTACATAGTACTTTAAAAAATTATATAGTTTTAATTAATTTAAATATATATATATAGGGCTGGGGATTTAGCTCAGCGGTTCAGTGACCTGCCTTGTAGGCACAAGGACCTGAGTTCAATCCCTGGTACCAACCCCCCCCAAATATAAAATAATTTAATAAAATTATATACTTTAAAAGTTATAAAATTATATATATTTAATTTGTTTATTGAAATAATCCTTTAGCCTTCAAAAAATTAAATATGTAATACTATGCATAAATAAAATTAAGCAAAATAATTAAGGTATTTCTAGTTTTTATACTTAAAGATTATTTCTTCTGACAATTTAAAACTTTTTATTACAGAATTTTACAAGTGTACAAAAGAAAAAATAGTACCATGACGTTCTTTCTATCTAACCATTACTTAAAAAATTCACTTTAATTTTTCCTGTTGTCCCACTCACTTTTTTACATTGGATCACTTTAAAGAAAATCTCAACTATTATTTTGCCCATAAATATTTTAGTATGTTTTGCTAAAAAAGAATTCTTTAAAAAATTACTCCATTATCATTAATCTAATTAAAATGACAATAATTCTTTAGTGTTATTAAATACCCTATCTTTAAATGGTTGTCATTTAAATGTTGTTTACTATTGCTTTCTTTGAATCAGGATCCAAACATGGTCCATACATTGCATTTGAGTAATTTTCTTTTAATCTTTAGGTTTTCTTCTTGGATTATTTTTTTAAAGATCATTTATTTGTTGAAAATCTAGATAATTTGCTTTGTAGCATTGAAATTCCTTGAGTTTGGATTTTATCATTTCATGATGTGATTTTTCATTTTCCTCCATCTTTTATTTTTCCTGTTAAGTGGAAAATAGATCCATAAGTTTGAGGAGATTCTGGCTGTTTATTTTGGACAAGAATATGTCATAGGTGGTAGTGAGTACTTGCTGGTGCTTTATGTTGAAAGTTATATAGTGCCCACTTTATTTTTTTGCGAGGCTAAACTTCACTATTAGGTCTGTGCTGTTGGCTAGACCACTTTTCTTTATGCCTCTCTTTCTGTCCCTCCCCTTCCCTCCCCTCCCCTTCCCTTCCTTCCCCCCACTCTCTATGTTGGGGATTGAGCTCAGGAACTTCATACTGACCTATATCCCCAGCCCTTTTTTATTCATTTAAAAAATTTAGTGGCCAGGTGTTACTATGTCATTAAATTGCCTAGGCTGTGTTTGAAATTAAGTTCCAAAAAGCTTTCTATTAGTCTTTTACCTAATAATTTTAGAAGCTGTTGATGTGTAGTACTTAGACCCATTCTTTTATTTAAATTATTACAATGTTTGTGTAATATTTTACTTTCATCATTTTCTACATTTATCTATTTTCTAAAACAAGTTAACTTTTCTGTGAAGAATAATTTTCCTATAACAACTCTTTGGTTTCATGAACTACAGTTCATTTAGGAAAAGCCAGATAATTGCTTGTTTTTTCTAATTAATTTGTCAATTAACTTTGTCTAATCAGTTTCTTAGGTTTTGGAATAATGAATTGGTTCTTCAGCATTTCAGAATTAACCAATGGGTTTTTTCTTGAAAGAATGATTTAAACTCATTTTTTGTTTTATTTACAGAGTTATGATCTGTGCTATCATGAACATTTGTGGTACAGAATTCTTTTTTTTTTTCCTTCTTATTGTGTCTATTGGTACAATCTAGGTGTACAATACAGTTACATTCATTATTGGGATCCTGTACCTTTACATGACAGGTCTTGATTCTCATTTTTTCCCCTTGTCCCTGCCCTCCCTTCACCCCCTCCTCCCCTCCCCAGTTACAAACACTTTAATTCCATTTTTTCAATTTCTCATATTTTTTTCTCTCCCTTATTACCTTTCCCCCACCCTTCCCACTTTCCCTACACCTTTAGTCCTTTACTTCCCATTTCACATTATTAATTATCTCATTAGGATCTTGTGTACTATTATAGTTTTTCACACCAGAGAAACTATTCGGTATTTCAATTGTGATACAGAATTAATTCTTAAGCAATTAGTCTCAGTTTTTTTCCTGGTTGTTGGTGCCTCTTTTGAAAATTTTTGATGTTTTCTCTTGCTCAGTCTTCTTAGAAGGCATTTCAGAAGATTTACAGACTTCTGGGAGTCATTTTTAATTTAAATTGTATTTAAATACCTTTTGACTATCAAGTCAAGGAGTTACATTTGTTTATTCCACATAAACAATAGCCAAATTTATGCATGTTGTGTGTGAACCCTGTTATGAGTGCTACCTGGCCAGCAGTGTTCATCTTTGTAAATGGGATGCATCCTCTTTACAGAGATGTTAAAAAAAATGCAAATTATAACTGGTGAAATAGGATTACTCAGTTACTATTAGAAAACCTAAATTATAATAAAATAACTTTAATTTTTAATGATAGAAAGTATTTCTAACATTGTAAATTAATAGCCTTTAAATTTTATTATTTGAGGCCTTTTTAAAAATATATTATGCGTCCTTTAGCAATGGAAGTTTAAAACCACCTAGCTGACAGAGACAGTGATAGATAAAGGCATAGGAGCAGGTGACAAGAGCCAGGAGGTGGGGGGCCTTCTCCAGGCTATAAAAGGCAAGGTGGTCCCCTGGGCCTTCATGGCAGGGGGATGAGCACTGAGCAGGTCCCCACGTTGTTACCTAAATGGGTATCAGGGAAATTCTTTCCAGGCTGTTGGTGTCCTGAAATAGAACTGGATCAGGCACACAGAAAAGCTAGCAGGGATGTACATTTATTGAGAGTGGAAAAGAAGTACATTCTGCAGAGTGAAAATGGGCTGTCAGCAGACTCACAGTGGCCACTTGGATAAGGAAAAGGAGGATTTTCTATCTAGAATTAATGGATTGGCTTCTCCCTTATGCAAATAAGGCACTTGGACGGTTGTCCTATGAGAGACTAACTTGGCCCAGTGACAGATTTAAATTGTCCTATCAGTATTGAAGACTTGGTTTGTAAAGGAAGAATTGAAAATAGCAG